TTTTGATGTATTCATTTGCTAATTTAAACCATTAGCAGATGCGGAGCGTTAAACGGAGACTCCCACTGGATGAAGAGACACTGTCATCCATTTCCTGCCTGCCCTGAATAATGATCATTAGTTACATGGGCCGAGTGGGGAACCAGACAAATGGGACTTGTGTGGCTAAAATTCTGTCGTCAGCAGCTGTCAGCAGCTCAGTGTTATTATAACGAATGTTGCCAATTTAGAAGGATGAAACCACTTCCTATTGATTTCTATAATGACCTACTGGAAAGTATGAGGACGAAGAAGAAGCCTTTTTTCTCCACAACACAGTTTACAATAGTGTATTTGGAACATCATGAATTAACTATACTGTTTGGCGAGAATGAAAACCCGCTGAGTTCTTGATTATTCTTGGAAACTGCTAGACAGCTACAGGGGGGAATTATTTTTTATAGATTTTCTATGTTGACCTTTCAATGTCATAATGCTATGTTCAATTGTGTGTGTTCATAAAGGATAATGGAGAAAATGGGTTTATATCATGATAGGTTACATACAGTACATACATACTATGGATGAATTGATATGATGAGAATAATAACAGTTCACGTCCTATAACTCTGAGATATTGTCAGCAAGAATCTGCACTGATGTTCAGAGTGACCTTTGTGTGAGTTGTTATTTTGCAATTGTCAATGTGGAAGAGACAGGTCTATTGCTTGGAATATTAAGGAGTTAGTTTTGTGAACTCCCTTTGACACCCCGAGGATACATTATTCATCACTTTTTTATGACTTATTCCAGTCACTGCAGACTTACTGTGAGATGTGTAGATGTGTTGAAATTCTGATCACTGTCTGGATTAGGATTCATAAGCAAGGCACAGCTCAAGAACATCTCAAATAAGATGTAAGGTTAAATCTTACATTAGAGACTATAGTTTTCCTCAGGGGCTATCTGAGCTGTGCCGACTGGCACAATAAAATTATTTGTTCATGCTTGCTTACACAGTAGCACATGCATTAAACGGATATAATTACATCAAGATTTTGCTGTGCAAGATAAGATTAGATAAAATGTACAGTACATGTCACATTTGGCATAAATAGAATCACTCAGATTGTCCAAAAGGACAGGAAGTGTGCAAACATGTTAAAGGTTAAAATATAGTCTGTGCAGGACATATTATATACAATAAAAAAGTAGCTATAGCAGTGCTGGTTTTTCAGCACTTAATGTGCAAGAATGTTTCCAACTAAAACTAAATCACAAACCCTGGTTTGGAGCCGAGTGGTCGAAGACTGAAACTATTGTTTTAAAATTCTGTGATTGTAAATTTCTCATTAATTCATTAATAATATTTGTACCTCTTTACTGTGTATGGTGCATAGATACAGTAGGTCCCATTCCGTTTTGTCGCCTTTCACGCGTGAATCACACGAGACTCACGTGTGATTCACGCGTCTTTTATTCCCCCCCCCCCCCCCCCTTGCAGTGACGTTGCAATGACCAAAACAACCACCAGGTGGCACTTGTGAGCAGGGTTACATTGAGTTATGAGTTTCTGCCCCGCGCACATCGACAATCTGGTTAAAACGGGCAACTCCTTGTAGCAGGCCAGTCTCTGGAATAACCCGCAGACATTAAAACTACTGCATATAACGTAAACTTTTGCATCACGTTGGTGATCTTTCCAGAAAGAGAGAATATCGTTATGGAAAGAGAAACTATTGGTAATATAACGCTGAACGTTATCTGACTCAAACAGCTCCGCTGGTGTCTCCTCCCACTCAGAAAAAAGCAGACGCCTTTTCTCTGGCATCTCTAACATTTATAATAAATACATAAATATAACAATCATAATGAAGATGCTTTCAAATAATTTAGCAAGCTGTAATTCATTTATTTTAACTCCACACTCTAAACATTGCCAGGATCAAAAACATAGTGTCTAAAGCAGACCTGGAGATTTTTATCCATGCATTTGTCTCCAGTAGGTTAGACCAGGGGTTCCCAAAGTTTTTAGCCCGCGACCCCCATCATAAATGCCCTGCTAACCCGCGACCCCCCCCCCCCCCCCGCTTTCTAGAGACTCACGCCACTACCGAGCTGCACTGTCCAGCCCAAAAAAGGAGGCTTGCATATTTTTACTCATGTAGTGACACAGTGATGGGAAAGTCCATAAAGTGAAACCGAAGAACGCATAGATAATTAAACACACAGTACAGAGACCCTGTGAAGAACGGACTCAAACTAGAAAATTCTGCATCACACGTGAATTTTTGAGCTGTCTCAATTGTTCAAAGGCATCCCGATATAAATCCTCGTTTTAGTCTTTGTTTTGTCATTAATGATTTGAGAGTCATAACAAGACCTTTTTTTAGTTCTGCGCCACATGTTATTTTACCAATAATATCAAATATAATCAAATATCTCGGCTGAACTACTGTTATCAGTTAAAGATGAATTCGAAAAGAGTATGATTTAATAACGCCTTTTGAAATATTCGGGTCATTTAATGATGACTTGACATGCAAATATTACATATTGCTCCTTTTAGCTAGAGATGCGCTGATTATATTCATGGATGAGTCTAAGTTTTGTGTAAACAGCAGGTTTGTCCTTCGCACACCTCTCTCTCTCTCTCTCTGTCTCTCTGTCTCTCTCTGTCTCCCCCTCTCTCTCTCTCTCTCTCTCTCTCTGGTGAGTGTAGCGCAGACCGGTGCACGCTTGATAAACATGTAAACTTTAAATACAATTGGAATTCAACTCCACAATCAGCACCAACCAAACTGCAGGAATAAAAATGCCAATTTTACAACATGACATTTCCTTTTGACAAGGAAAGAAAATAACAAGCTGATAACGTTACCTAATTGCACACAAGCAACCAAAAGGTGTGCAACCAAAACTGCCTCAGACAAGAATCGAACCCGGATCAACCGGGTCCTAATCTACAACACTAACCATTCGGCCAACATATAGTATCACTAGTCAAAACAGGTTTGCACGCACTCTTATACCTGAGCTTTTAAGTCGCTGGCAGAGTTAAAGCGGACTTAACCTGCCACCTAGTGGCGATAGGATGTAATATGTTTCACGCAGCTGCGTGATTCATGAAAAGCGTGAATGAAGACGACAAAACGAAATGGGACCTACTGTACACAGATAAAAGAATACTTTTGTTATCAAGATGACAATTTAATACAATGTGAATTTATGATAACATTGTATTTATATACATTTGTTGTTTGGTTTGAGACTCATTATTACTACATTTCAGCTGGAAATGACTGGTTCTACTTTTTACCTCTTGAACTGAAAATTCTTGTCATTGAGTGTTGATTATTGAACCAAACAACATTGGTCTGTTTATTGGGGCAATGTAGCAAACAAACACCTCGGGATTTGTTTGCTATGTTAATACAATAACCAGAGAAACTATGCTCCAAACAAGATTTTTGAGGCCAATACATTCACATTTAGACTTTGTGACACAAATATATAAAACAGCCTCTCACTCACACACTAAAAAGCTTTATTCTTTACCATTGCTTCAGTTCAAATTATTTTTACTTCGATTCAATAAAAGATAAGATAAACTTTAGACAGGGATAACTCTTTATGTAAGTGCTCTATTGGCTTAACTATTATTTCAACCAATTCCATTTTGATTTCACTCTTATATCCTTCACTACAAGCAGCAAAGTTTTCACTGTGAGTGGCATCATCACCATGGATACTCACACATCTTGGGTGGGGCTCAGCAGACATGCTGTTTTAGAAGAATGGAGATGGTAACTGCTTTGTGAAACATCTGTTTTAGCTGAGATTTACATGAGCCGTGTGCACCTTGTGTTTGTACATGGAGATTGTACAAAAACAAGGTGCACGTGGCTCATGTAAATCTAAAAAGACCTGTTGTGAGAATAGTTGCTTGATAGAAACAGTGGGAGCTGCTGTGCTACTGGTCTATCTTACATACACAGTGAACCTGGCCGCTTGTGCATAACGGTAAAAGCTGGGAAAAGGAGCTGAGGTTTATTTGCTCCTTCTTTTGTGTGTATTTGTATAGAAGACATTTTATGAAGACTTGTTTTATTCATGCCTTTATAACAATTTTACTTTCACAACTTGCTTGCACCATGAGCCAAAGCAAATCCCTAGTTTATGACTTCCTGTAACTTACAATGGCAATAATAAAGATGGGAGGGAGGGAGAGGTGACCACAGTTTGATCATGAGGGGCGCGGAGCAGGAGCCTCGATTTGACCATTTTTAATATTTTGACATGATTATTGAAGAAGTAAAAATGTGATTGGTCCAATCACTGATTACATGTTTTCTGCCATACTCAACCAAATGATAATGACACCTCTATGAGAACCCCTCAAATATAAGTGCATAACTGAACCATCCATGCACTCTCAATTCAAGCCTTTTTTCATCTTCCTTTTACCCACTTTTCTCGTCTGAGAAGTGCAGAGATGTACATATTTTGTCTCTGCAATGTGCTTGGAATAATGAAAAATGTATTCATTTGAGCTGCTGCACATTTGTCTTTCAAATGGTTCAAATATGGATGAAATATGTCTACTCAAGGCTGTTGGACTCCGGCAATAACAAGTACATTGACTCTTGGGAAACTTTAATATGCTTTTTCAGTTAACATAGTTTTGATTAATGTCATAATAGTAAAACACAATGCATGTCGGGCTGGCTTGCTGTAATTTTGATATCAGATGAGGAGGTAGAAAGTAGTGGTCATTCGTTGCATTTGCCCGCGTTGGCCTGCATGTCAGGGTAGCTTTCAATAACAAACGGAATGGTTCCCATGTAAAGGTTTCTCTCACAAGCCTTTAGTGACTGTCCTCTCTCCCTTTGGCTCCTTTGAAGAAACCCAAAGCAAGTCAATACACAGCAAGTGATCACATTAGCCAAAACAGCACTATTGATTCAAAGACTCTGCCCAGCCAGTTCAGTCTGATCAAAGCTTCTTCCCTCTGTCTGCAGATGAAAGTATCCAAGGCCATTCAAATGTGTTCTTAAAAAGCGAGCAAAGCCTGTCCACTCCGTCGTCACAAGATAAGACAGAAAATGATGAGGCAGGCCGCAGATCCAGTGTGACCAGTGTGGAAAGTGAATCGTCTGTTTGTTCCATGAGCCAACTTGGAAACCTAATTGCCAACAGTGAGTGAAAACGGGGGCAAAATAATTAATGTGGATTGAGTTAGTCGTATGCTTATTATATGTGATTCATTAAACAGTTCGTTCACTGCATTCTAATTTGACTAATTTGAATTTCTGTCTTTTCTTTGTGTAGTTTCTAGTCTGTGGTGGGGCTCCAAGCGCCTGGACTATGCTTTGTACTGCCCTGATGTGCTCACCGCCTTCCCCACTGTGGCTCTGCCTCATCTTTTTCATGCATCCTACTGGGAGTCCACAGATGTAGCTGCTTTTGTTCTCCGCCAGGTACACTGTTCAAAGAGGAAGATGGAGCCTCTTATTTTCCCTAGGGGGACATTGGGTTGGAACATTTATGATAAAATCGACTCAAAACAAATGTTAACTGGCTGGCAAATAGGTCGACAGTTGGGTTGGGTGGTGGGATGTCTGCCCAGACAAGAATCACGTTTGTCAACAAGAAGAAGACATTTTATTTTTCTAACACATTTCATTCAGTAAACTGCAACCCAATGCGCTTCACTAGATCAGGAATGTCAAAGTCAAATACATCATAGGGTAAAAAACTATTTGCTATAAGCCGAGGGCCGGACTCGTCCAATGTTTATTAAAACATATTAAAATGATTGCATAAAACGTATTGAACCAAGACCTAACACGGTGTACCATATTTTAGTTAATGATTAAATGAATAATCCAATATGTTTCCATGGCTCTGTCAGTAATTTCAAGTGAAAACATTTTCCAGCAGGCTCACGGACAAAAACAAACTTCCTTCAAAGAGAAAACGCATGTCCTGAACATTAAATGAATAATCCACTATTTTCTTATGGCTCTGTGTGCGGGCCGGTTCTAATACTAGTCAAATATCATAATTCGCAGCCCGGATCTGGCCCCCGGGCCCAGAAATTGACACCCATGAACTAAATGAAGCCCAAAAGGGTGTTTTTTGACTGCACTGCCCACTGTCTAAAGACCCACTTCACACTCTACACACTGTTTTAGAGAGTCTGAAAAAGTGGGTCATGAGGGCAGAGTGTTTCATTTATAAGGAGCATCATGGGAAGAAGCTGCTTATCCCATCTTCAAACTCACAAGAGCAAGAAGGTTGGGTCTGAGTATCTGAGACTGCAAACTGGTTCATAAGGCACAAGTAGATCATAAATATAAAAAGGCACCAGAATGTGGAAATGTTGGTATATTTTGTCTTCTTCCATTCCCATGGGCACGATTTAGAGATGGCAATCAAAGTCATAGTCTGTTAATAAAAAGAAAGAAATGCTTTGTGGTAAGAGGGTGAGTGAGCGCTGCTGCAAAACGCTCACTTTGAAGAGGAAAAAGAAGGTCAGAGGCACAACAGGAGTAAAAATCCTTTATTATCGAGCATTTCATTGTCAAATTCATTGTGGTGTTCAAAGAGTGTGGAATACTTTTTTACTCTTTTCTAACAATGTGAAAATGTATGGCAAAGTTAAGAAAGTCAAGAATACAGTATACAGTCCCCTGATTGGAAAATTCTATAATTCAGTAATTCTGTAACTGTAATGTAATGTTTTCATTGCAGCTCATGCGTTGCGACTGCGTGAAGACCCAGGAAGCAAACCTTTTGGACTCGGCTCCATTCTCACCCTCCAGCCCAAGGGAGAAATGGCTCAGGAGAAGAACACATGTTAAATTGAGGGTAACAGTCACATCATTTTCTCCAACAAGCTTTTCTGCCTCCCACATATCCAAAATGTATCACAGAGCTGACTCATGAATAGTGGATGCTGATGTTGAGTTCTTTGATATATATATCTTTCAATAACCTCCCACTCCTTCACTTGCAGCATAAACAGACACATAACAATTACATGACTCTTCTGAGCTCAGCCAACCAGAGGAATCAAGGACACATTTCTATCTATGGAATGATTTCTTTTCGAGTTTTAGAGTCAAGGTTTTAACTGCTTGCTTTCAATACAGTTATAAATAGAACTGTTACTAGAGCACAATGGAAACCTTTTTCTATTTGAGGTCTGTCTTGTTCCTTATAAAGACAAGTGTTTGTGATGCACACCATGAATAGTCTGTAGCTAAGGTTGTGGATAGCACTCCAGTTGATGCACATGCAATTAGTCACAAGCATATATAACACTGTCGCTCAATGGGAAATATATACACACTTCCGGTTACATGTCCTCTGCAAGCACAGCCTCTCCACAGATCTGACCTGTAACTTGGTTGATTGTGTCCCTTGGAGATATGCAGTATTGGATAGTTTAAAATACCAATTAATTAATTTTTCAATCAAAAGTGGGTAAAAAGGGTCAATGCAGCTGTTGCCTGGTCCGACAATTAAAGTCAGGATTTAAAGTCACACTCTGGATTTGTCAGCAACATTCCTGATACACACATTAGCATATAGAGAGTTTTTACTGCATGCAGCAATATGCGCTGCACTTAGATTTCAAGAGTTAAGTCTATACTTCTGATAAAGCATGAAGGACCATTTGTTTTTTGTTTTTTTTACTTTTGAAACTCAATTTATGTAGAACCCTTTTAGGAGTGTATCTGCATTGTGCCTAATTTAATTCTGGCTAAAATATTTTTTTCAAATAATGCTTTAAACAACTTCTTTTTTTTTTTTTTTATGCAACCCGGCAATGGACGAAGTAGAAGAAAATGGATGGATGGATGTTGGTAGTAGTAGTAATTATTTATTTCAAACATATATTTCATGCAACTTAAAACAAAGACAAGATACAAAATAATAATGATAATAATAATGCATTTGCGTTTTATATATTGCTTTTTTGGACACTCAAAGACGTTTCACATTATTCTTTCACTCCATACAAGGTGGTGATTAACTACTGCTGTAGCCACAGCTGCCCTGGGGCACACTGAAAGAAGTGAGTCAACCAGTATGTGCCATTGGCCCCTCCGACACACACAAGACTCATTCTAGGCAATGTGGGTGACTTACTTGAGGACATAACGACAGTTTGTCACTTTATAGCCGTAGCCACCCTTCTCTGGCATCTGGTGTTCCCCCATTAACGCTTTGCTTCAGAGGTGTGACAGGATCTGGATTTTGCATGCAAGTATGGCCAAAATAAAAGTTTGAAGAGGGGTTAGACGAGTCAAAATCTTTTTTGGCTCCAACCTCTCGCTTTCACTCATTCTTCAACACACACACCTCCCCATTACTCACTCCGTGCTGAAGACATCACTCTCCTTCCTCAACATAGTAATAAAAGGCCTGGCATTATTAAGTATATTGTATGTTTCTGCAGAACGTCACTGCCAACCATAGGGTCAATGATGTCATAGCCACTGAGGATGGCCCGCAGACGCTGGTGGGGCGCTTCATGTACGGCCCATTGGACATGGTCACGCTAACGGGGGAAAAGGTGACAACCATTATATCACTCTCCAGGACTTCAACATGTTGTGAAAGGTCAACAATAATGACTTGTTCCTGCGCCTCCCAGGTGGACATCTTCCTCATGACACAGCCACAGTCGAGCCGCTGGGTGCACTTTGACACAGAGGTGACTAATAGCAGCGGCAGAGTCACATACACCATCCCCAAGAGCAAGAGGCTGAGTCTGGGAGTCTATCCAATTAAAATGGTGGTCAAGTAAGTGGATACTGTATATGGCTTATACCTTTCCACTATATGAATAATTTTGTTAGGCGCTGCAGCAATCTAGGGGTTTACCAGCATGAGATATTAGATTAATAAAAGACTGTTCAAGCTGGGTCAGGATTGGATTGGTTGATGTGCTGCTCGCCCCCCCCCCCCCCCCCCGAGTTCCAGTTTCATAGCACCATATTTCTCCACTCATTTCCCTAGGGGTGATCAAACCAGTGCAGAGGCATACCTGACAGTGTTGCCGAGGGGTATGGAGTGTGTTGTCTTCAGTATTGACGGGTCATTTGCAGCCAGTGTGTCAATCATGGGCAGTGACCCGAAGGTCCGCCCCGGAGCTGTGGATGTTGTCAGGTAAAGATGGTTTCTGCTATTCTGTCAATAAACGTGTAAAGAATGGACCAACCAGGCTGCATTATGCCAGCATGATGTTGATGATGATAATTTAGCGGCAAATTCTGTGTGTCTATTAATGCATTTTATCTCAATTTGCAGTAATTTAAAAGCAGTTTGAATCTAAGCCACCCATCTGTTGGATTAGCAAAGACTACTTTTGTCTCTTGTTCAGTAGATATAGAATGATATTGATGTTTGCCATTATTTTACTTAAATGATACATATTATGCAAATTTACTTTTTTTACAATTTTTCCTCATCAAAAATAGACTTGCAGTTGTTTTTAGACATAAACAGTAACAGTTTGATGTAATTGTGCCACTTTGACATCACACTCAACTGGTAATTTTCTAATTTAGAAAAAAAAGCGTAGGGAGTTACATGACAATCTTCTTTAAAGCTGGAGTACCTAACTTTGAAGCCCCAAAAACATTTACTTTGTAATAAAATCCTAGTTCCAAGCTCTCAAAATGTCATTAGTTATATCATTAGTTTTCACTTGCATGTGTTTAGGACCTTTGTCACATCTTTAGATACGTTTTTTTCAGTGAAAAAGAATGGACCAACCCAAAGTGTCAAATCACAGGGCTCTTTCGTACAAGAATGCAAAATATAACATGTTTTTTGATAAGATAAAGACAACATATGCCCTCCAGCTTTATTAACATGATTCTTCTGGTCATAATGTAGGATTGGTTCATATCTGAATTTCTATATGCTTCCATATAGTCAACTAAAGCTGTTTAATTCTCCCATTTGCATTAAGGCACTGGCAGGATCTGGGCTATCTTATCATCTACATCACAGGCCGCCCTGATATGCAGAAGCAGCGTGTGGTTTCGTGGCTTTCTCAGCACAATTTTCCTCACGGGATGATCTTCTTCTCTGAAGGCCTTGTCCACGACCCCCTACGGCAAAAGACCATCTTCCTCAGAAACCTCATACAGGAGGTACATCAGCTTACACAGCACAGAGTCTTTATCTGATCTACAAGAAGCCTTTTCATAACAAGGATCACAACAGAGAAACCATATTCAGCAACTTTCAGTCTTTTTCTACTTGACTTACAGAAAAGCAGACAGGCTTATTATTAAACTCTTCAAAATTACCATTTACAAGCATGAATATTTTGTCCTATGCTACCTTTAAAAAGATTATAAGTAGTGTTTCAAACTACAAATTACTATTGACATGGCAAATGAGCCACGTAAATCAGTTTAGATGTGTTTTCATTGAATCAGTAACTCAAACTCCTTTTCTTTTCTAGATTTTTTTAGAACCCTTTTAAGGTAGAACAGTGCAATGTTTATGCGTAAACTGGTTATATCAGGATTGTACCTCAATTGTGCCTTAAACGGTTTACAAAGATGATGTTGGGGGCTAAAAAGTGCTACCACTATTAAGAAAATTGTTTGTTTCTGCAGACGTCACTGCTGACCACAGGGTTAGTGATGTCTGCAATTCCAGCAGATTAACAAACGCGTTGCTTTGTTTGTTGGTGTGACTATATTGCATTTCACTGCCAATATTGGTCCTTGTTTTTTGCTTTTTATGAAAGCCAAAACTAATTAAACGCATTTTCTCCACAGTGTCATATTAAGATAAACTCCGCTTATGGATCCATGAAAGACATATCCGTTTACAACATGCTAGGCCTAAATCCCTCACAAATTTACATTGTTGGGCGGCCATCAAAGAAATACCAAACCACTTGCCAGGTAACCCAATTGCTTTCTGGTTTTATAATAGTTTTGGCCTTTCTTATATTGTATTCTTGCCCTGTGTCCAGTTCTTGAGTGAAGGTTATGCGGCGCATCTGTCGACTCTTCAGTTCGGGCACAGAGCCAGGCCTAAGAAATCTCCTTCAGTTCGCATGGTTCTGAGGAAAGGCTCTTTTGGACTCACAGCCAAACCAGATTTTCTGTGTAAGCGGACCCATCTGCGGAGGACCATGTCAGTGCAGCAGCCAGACCCTCCTTGTGCAGCCAACCCCAAACCGGAGAGGGCCCAGAGCCAGCCCGAGTCGGATAAGGACCACGGAGGAGCAGGGGGGCAAGGGACCTGGGGAAGGGCCTCTATGCACCGGGGAGACACCACCCCATAGCACCACGGCTTGCGGTATGACTGGGTTTTAACTGCTGCACAAAAGCCAAGAGAGAGAGAGTGAGCTTTTCCTCAGAAAAATTAGTAATTACCTGCACGATGCATAGACTTTAACCATGGCATGTGCAATTAAGAGATGGTTTTTTTTTTTACACAAACAAACATGAACAAGAACATATCTTAAACACACATGTACAGGTCCAGGGACGATTTTTTTTTGTCAATTGTCTTGGCCCAGACTTTGATGAAGCTCTTGTTAGCGCCGTGGAACAAAACAAAATATTGCATTGAAATGACATGGGAAACGTATGTATATTTTCAATGTTTGTTTACATTATCGAGATGTCTCACGTATCTCACTGAAAAACATTTATCAACAGGGTTATTACGAGACTAATAGTGTGGATAGTGAAGTAGTAGTGCACATTTGGTTATTGTGTTTAAAACAATATGTGCATGTTACAATCATGGTTGTGTTCGTCTTTTTTTGGTTAGCCTTTGCACAAAAAGGTCTGAGTTTAGTGGATAACTCATTAAGTGACCTCCAGAAAATACCACTGCATAAATCACTTATGTGTTTCCTATGGACGTTAAGTCAAAGATTGAATGTCCTGTGTGTTTTGACCAGCTAGAAATGTATGCCTTTGGAAGTAGGCTTGGGTGATGTGGACAAATACCCTCATTTGCGGGGGGAACTCTAGCTTGCCTTAGCTACCCTGTTACGGTGCAAATGTAACGCTGCGCAAGAAATGCCCATATAAGGAAATTGGCTCCAGCTCGCTTTTGTTCAATTCGGCCTCTTCCACATTAAGGTTAACACTATGGGTGACCCCAGCACTCTGTCAGTCCACTCCTAATACACGGCCTATCGCTCAGACCAAATGTAAACATCACCAGTGTGCACACACACAAATGCTCTTGTGTGCCATTCGCTCAAAATTCACTCCAAATTATACTCTTATTGTATGGAACTGGATTATATCCGTCCAGCCCTGTTTGGAAGTCATTAAATGTATGTGTATTAATGCTTTAAGACAAGGCCATGTCTCTTCTGTATTTATCATTAAACAGTTATGCCTTTGAGATATAGAAAATGGTTGAAGGCACAAAAACACTCATTTCATTTTTGTTGTTGATTTTTTTTTTCACAGTCACTACTAAATTTGTGTCTAGTGATTGTCTCCTGGTTTAGCAGTACTGCTAGTGACATCTCTCATGACTACAAGACATTTGTGTTTCTGTTATAACATATACCATATGGTATATACATATACCACTATCTTAAAGGGGCCATATAATATTTTATATGACATCTAAATCTTTGAATGTTTTACCAGATAATAGGCCAACATGTACTAATCCTATTTGACCTTTTCTGAACAAAGGTTTCAAGTGGAGTTATTCTTACGATATTATAGCAGAGCATGAGACTAAAACTCTTGTGGTCTGGAGCCAGCTTTAGAGTGAATATTACATTGTGTCCCTTTTTATCATGTGCATCTATTGAATTGGATAACCGTGAAAAACAAAGGTGGAAGCTGGTGGTCTGGTTGGCTCACACATCTACTGGTCCACAAAGAACCGGTGCAGCTGCAGGGTTTCATTCCGACAGGGCAGGGGCACACCAGACTCCACCCATTTCCTCAAGTGAGTAAGACTGGACCATGGATCTACACTGGACGTCTCCACATGGGTGGAGTTTGGTGTGCTCCTGGTAGGTTGGAATGAAATCCTACTGCTGCATCAGACCTTTCTGGATCCAGTTTGACACCCATGGATTAGGGGTATAATGCTCAAGTAGATTAAGCACCATTTACCATTGGAGAAAACTGAATAATGATAATGCACATGTCCCATAGAAGTAAGAAATTGCACACACTATTTTACTTTGTACCCGCTGATTAGCACCTGGGTTCATAAATATACCCTTAGGACTGTATCTCTGTATTCTGGTCCCCTGCACAGCCCCCTCCCTCGTGGGCAGGCAGGCAGAACATGGCTCCTGACTCAGCCCAGTGCTGGTTGAGCACGGATTGCTCCCGAGGCATCCTGCATCCTCTATGGATGCAGGATGCGCTGGTCCTCTACAAGAGTAATGACATGATGTGGAATTTTATTGGATCTGTTTATTGATTGGGGGAAAAAATGATAAAGATTTGTTTTTATTAATGTACAGAGATGATACTACGTTTACAGATTTGTATAAAAATATATAATATATAAAGGTGACATTGTTGCAGTATTTGTCGTGTATATGTTGTGTGGCTTTTAGAAAGAGGTACAATGACTTGTTTGGAGATGGTACCAGGGTGAGCCGATGCTTAAAGCTGCACTCAGTCTGTTCTGTGCACTTTAATCATGTATTTCTATGGCTTTGTCCAAACTTATTTTTCTATGATTAAATCATGTAAATAGGAATAATTTTGAGCAATGTCCTGACTGAATATTGTGTATTCTGTTTAGCCTGGTCAATTTTGCCTTATTTATCGTGTGAGAAAAAAAAATCTTAATGACCAAAGTTTTTAGCTTTTAGTTCTTTACAACATGTGTTTGAATGTGAAGAAATAATGGGATCAAATTCATTTGTTTTTGTAAATATCTATAAATATAATATAAATACTCTACAGAAAACGCATGTGCTTGAATGGTGAATGTACTGTATTTTTGCTTGGATGGACGTCCCTTCAGGACAGAAACATGCGCATCACTGGTTTTTCTATACACCTGGTGTGTTTTGTAATTAGATATTTGATTCTCTTGTATGCTCCCTGTAGTGCTGCCTCTGTAAGTGTAAAAAGTGCCAATTACACATAATTGTTGAGTCAATATAATAGTATAATGGTTAGTAGGCACTTAATTACTCAAATAGTTCTGCTAATAAACAAAGGTTCTGCCATTGACATTAATAGTGTACTGTGGTGACCCAATGGCAGTTTCAGGCATTACTCCATCTTATGCAATTCTAGCTGAAAAGAAAAAAAACTAACATTTCACATTAACTTGGCAATGCCTAAAAAAACGTTAAATAAACTGTGACTTAAAATGTTGCTATTCTAGTTTCCCTATTACAATATATGCAACTAGATCTGATAAGCAAGACTTATGTCTTTTTCTGGATGTTACTTGTTTGCCAACAAGTTCTTAACAGCTCATCAAATATATATTTGGCAGTAGTAAATCCATTTGAATACTGCAACGGATGCACTGACCTAGCCTTTTGTGGTAACTCAGAGTTCTGTTTTGAACCTAGACGTACATGTTGTGTTACTTGACCTGAAATGTTGCATATGACTGAAAAAATAAACAGACATGGACTTTTTCTCTCTGTGAACTTATTCTGTGACTCTGGCCTCATTACTCTAAAAATGTTGTAGATTATAGTTTGCAATGATATTGTACTGAAAACATATTGAGCTTGATCTCGTCCTTGTGTCTGAACTTACATGTCGACTTTTTTTATAGCATCCAAGCACTTGATCCTTCTTTCAGACTTGGCCTTAATGCGTCCTATCATCTGGCCATCTGCCAACTTTACATTCATTACTGAGGTTTCAAAGATATATAATTGTTTCCAGACACTTTCACAATCTTACCTTGTTTTGGTTTGGAATATATGAATACATACTGTGAATTCAAGGTGTTGAGCTCATTGAGACTGGAGCAGTTTACTTTAGGGAAACAAGTGTTTCTTCACATGGAAATGTTAATTGAAAATGATCAAATACTACAGAGTTGGAATGTTTTTTCATGCAGCTTTGGTTACACGGTATTCTGCCCACAGAGCCAGCCATTCACCACGTTTACTCAGTGAAATGAATGACATTCCGCACGTACAGTTAACAAAAAGAAAGTGGTCAGCAAAATAAGTAACATTTTAAAATAAACTGCAATGATAAAACATTGTCATGCCATAACAATTGGCCTATTGTCATGGAGCTATCAAAAACTTAATTACATCTCCAATTTCCTACTGTATGTACACAACAATTGTATTCTATCTGCAAGGGCTTCCTCAAAACCACAAAGGTTACAAATAAGTCACTTTTTACCTCTGTGATAACTTGCACAACCTACAGCATGTGGTAAATCCAGTCTTTGGGACAGAGCATTGTGCAGCATGGAGCCATCCAGCAGCGACAGGCTCTTCTGCTGCCCAGGGGTGCGCCGCAGAGTGCCAGAGGCCTACAGAGATGAGCTTTACCACATCCTCAGGATGACAGTGCCAGTGGTAAGAACATAATAATACATCTTGCTACATGTATGTTGAAAGAACAAACCTGTGTTTGTTTTTCATATATTTTATTATTATGACTTTTGTATTGACTATTATTGACTGTTGTTCACTGTTTTTACTGTGCAGCGTTTTGTAAACACAGTTTTAAAGTGCTATGCAAATAAATGTGTATTTATTGATTCTTAAACATGGACTATATTTGTGTTTGTTTTTATTTTTCAAGTTGGTCACTAGAATTCTTGGTTACCTGCCTTCCTTTGTGATTACCATGTTCTGTGGCCGTTTGGGAAATAATGTAATGGCTGGCTATGGCCTGGCTTGTGCTGTAAGTTGTGTAGTAAATAAAAGCATTTATGTGTGGAATTTTATTAAAATGCAAAAGACTCTAACCCTAACATTGTTTTTTTTTAGACCATCAATATCACAACAACCTCAACAGGGTTTGGTCTCGCAACGGCCTGTGATACGCTGGTGTCTCAGGTCTAACAATGATGTAACTGGATAAAAGTAATTGTTTGATACTAAAACCCTGTATGTCTCTGGGGCAGACTTTTGGGGGTAAGAACATGTTGCGTGTTGGAGTGATTCTGCAGAGGGGGGTCCTCATCCTGCTGCTGTTCTGTCTGCCCTGCTGGGCTCTGCTCATGAACGCACAGTCTGTACTGATCTATATGGGACAGGAGCCTGAGGTCACCAGGTGACTCACACCAGCAATATCATTATGAGAGAATTCCCTTCATTACATATACTTAATTCAAAACATTTGTTTTATGCATATCTCTATGATTGATATTATATGAGCCTGTGATTTCAGAGTAGCTCAGATCTACATGACAGCATTCATTCCAGCGGTGCCAGTAAGTTGTGACTCTTTCTCTGGCCTCAACTCCAGAGCTTTGGTTGAACTTGGTCTATTCTTATTTGTAGGTCATGTATCTCCAGCACCTGCAGGTCTCCTACTTACAGAACCAGGTGCACCACCTTTCTAACATAATTAATTACAAAACAGACACATGTCTTGTAGGAATAAAATAATAATGATAATAATATGTAATAAGAATCATAACAATAATATAATGATCCTGATGTCAACTTTCCTCAGGTCATCATCCTGCCTCAGATGCTCACTGCTGTTGCAGCCAACATAGCAAATGCAATAACTAACTACATTCTTGTGCACTGGCTGAAACTGGGCATCAGGTGAGAGGGTAATGATCTATTCTTGGGTTTCAAGCAACACTTCATATTCACTATAGATATACATTTTATTTGGTTATCTTTCTCAAACGCATGGATAACGTTTAAACCTCTGTCCACAGCGGTTCTGCTGCAGCCAACACCTTGAGTCACGTCTATTCCTGTGGGTTCCTTTATATTTATATTCGGTGGAAAAAGCTCCACGTTAACACATGGGGAGGTGAGGTCTTACATTAGGCTCCATGCACTAATCTCCTCCTCTACAACTTGATATTGACAGTCATGTATTTCAGATTAATATTTATTTATTTATGGAAATTTTATTGGAGAAAAAACCCCATGAGATGTATCATCTCGTTTTCGTGGGGGGGTCCTCATTATCAAATCCAAAGAACTTAGAACAGCAGAGTATATACAGTCAAATAAAACAAAAGCAAAAAAAATAGTTTTAACAACAACAATAGTAATAATAGACAGTAATAATAAAACAAAACAAAACAAAAAATATATAATGATGATTATACAACAAATACTTAGCACACATACTCACACACACCACTCATGCCACACACTCACACAAGCTCTCACTATTCACTTACCCACTCTTTACAGATATACAGTTATATACAAAACAATACTTACGTACACTTGTTGCAAATAAAAATAATCCTAATCATATTGCTCCCCCTACAGGCTGGTCCACAGAAGCACTGCAGGAATGGGGCTCTTTCATGAAGCTGGCTATTGCCAGTACAGTGATGAAGTGTGCAGAGTGGTGGGTTTATGAGTTTGGAGGCTTCTTTTCAGGTACTGAAAAGCCAATATTATTATTATTGATTATTGTATTGTGTCTAATATCTTAATTTAACATTGCTCATTTAGGAATGATAAGTGAAGATGAGCTTGCTGCCCAACATGGAGTTGTAATGATAGCATTTCTAACATACATGGTAGTATGTTTTTGTCTATAGATTTTAACCTGCAATGTGTGTATTTAGCTTAAACTACATGAGTATTTTTTAGTTTCCTGTGGGAATTCAAGCAGCCACCTGTGCTCGAGTGGGGAATGCACTTGGAGCAGGAAACACTGCAAGAGCCATACTGACAATGAAAGTCTCCTATGGTTTAGCAGGTCAGTTCAGGTTAATTGTAAAACTACTTCAAGATACTACTGTAGCCCCCGTCCCACATCTTTTTTGTTGTTGTTGCAGTTTTCTTTGCTTTAGTACAAGGTACTGTACTTGGCTCCATTAAACATTGTATTGGTTACATTTTTACCAATGATGAGTAAGTATGAATACAAATGTACTTAGTTGGCAACACATTGTAATCATGTATATCATCCACAATAATCCTCCAGAGAAATTGTAGGCCTGATCTCCCACTTGATGAAGGCCTACTGTTTCCTACAGCTTTTTGATGGCCTTATGGTGAGTATTTATTGACATGCTCTTCTTACATGGTGATCTGCATGTATACTGTATGACATATCACATACTTTCCGTAGTGTGTGTCATCTGGCGTCTTTGTAGGCGCTGGGAAGCAGAAAATCCCAGCTGTGGCTAACATTGTCGGATACTATGGCATTGGGCTTTCATCGGCACTGGTGCTCATGTTCATAGTAAAACTAAACACTATAGGTAATATAACTGTTTTGTTAAAAGTACAAGTAAACCTGAATGCCTATTTTAATATAATAGCCCTGAAGAGTGTTTTGACGTTGTGAAACCCCACATACTGTATATCATCCTCATTCTGCCACTGCCACACATGTGTGGAAAGGGTTAGGAGATTCTGATTCAGATCCAGATTCAGAACATTTTCCATTTGCAATAAAACCCACATTGGAATACAAACATACCCCAGTGTGCAACATACAATTACATAGTATCAAAAGAAAATAAAAATACAGGAATTAAACAGAAAAGTACAAGAAACAATTGTCACTGTGAAACCAATCAACAAAAACAGTTTCAACACAAGTGCAAGATCATTAAAGTGCTTTGTTTAAACTGATAACAGCTTGTAGAAAGAAGCTGTTAGTATATCGAGATGTCCCCCATCTCAACAAGCGATATATTCCGCCAGTGGGAAGAAGCTGGAACATAGCTTCTCCGGGCTTCTTCTTCCATTATTCCATTTAAACCCAGAAACTTGCACTCTATAATCTGCACTGCACTTGGGAGTTATCAATAACAGCAGGCATGTGAGGTTCTTTCATTTAATCTTCTGAACATCATTTTGGATTTCTACTCTGGAAGAGGGCTCATGGAGGTGTCATCAGCATATTTGATGATCAGGTTTGAGCCAGAGGAAGACTATCTGACTTCTCAGTGATGGAGGTGAAACGGCCTCATAAAATAATGATGTCATGGATGACCGTGTGTCACCTGCACTGGTTTCTCAGCTTCAGTCAAGACCCTACAGGCTGGCAAGGGGCTTTTGGAAAGAGCCCCTATCTCCGCAGTTCAAACTAATGGGCCAAAAATTGGGCTTTCATGGAGTGATTCAAAATGGCCGCGGGGGCTGGAAAATGTGAAAAAACGCATCTGCGCATGCATCAGCTGCACGAGCCCCATTCATTTAAACGAGTGACTTAGACAGCGAGTAAACTAGATTGGTCCAAAAAAATTAACCCCCCTTAGCATTGACACACATGTGGAACGGAGCTTTGGGCCAAGAGCCAACTTTTGGACCATCCTGTAAAGACGTTTTTGAGAGGTAAGAGTAAGAAGATGCTATATGTTAGCATTGGCTAATTCTTATTCCGGGTCCACCCCCATCGGCCCGGGGTGGTATTGCAAGCATGTCAGCGCACGTCATTTTGGCCACTTTTGAGCCGGGACCCGCCCCCACCAGCTGTGGTACATCTTTTTCATGGAAATATATCTCACGGCACACCACCAGCTAAAACTGTTGCTAAAATGAAACTCTGCAGCCTTTAATAAGAAAGCAAAGTAATTCTCATCAAGTACAACAAGTGTATGAAACAAACGAAATAATTTATTACAATCTTCTCACATTATTTTCTTTTTACATTATTTGGATCAATTGGATGATCCATTATCATCCAAAGTCTCAAGGCACACAAACATTCCATGGCCCACTGGTTGAAAAACACCATCCTTGAGTTAAATTGTTCAGCTGTGAATCCGGTGCTTTTGTGAGGACAATGAGATGGAGGAAAGGGAAAACTGCTGAGAGTCCAAGAAGAGATGTGATTTCTGAGTGCAAGGCCAGACGATCATAAAATGAGTCCAAGAATATTTGAACTCTGAATGTCTTTTTCTGAACAGGCTGGTGGCTTGGACTGTTAATTTGTGTAATTTTGCAATCCACCTTCTACATTGTCATCATTTTTTTTAAGATGGACTGGAAGGCAATAACCAAGGAGGTAAACTTCAGTCTGAATTATTGACCTGATAAAAAATTTGTATTCAAGTTTTACAATTGAGATGTTTTGGTTGTGTTGTTACAGGCCGTGCAACGAGCACACAAGACCACCAACCTGCCATTGTTAAAAGAAAATAATCTCTTAGAAAGTAGGGGTAATGGCACGTCTGAAACTGAAAATGTAAGTAATGAATTATCATAATTAATATGACTCCCTTTGAGTGGTAGTAGAATGTTGAATCATGGTATAATGGTGCATTCTGAAAATGTTGCCTAGTTTGGTATAAAACATATACCTTCTACAATTATGGATGATTTTAGTGCTGGAACTAAACACTTTTTTTTTACAGTGAGAAGACTTGCCTTCCAACAGACATAACTTGTAACTTAGCAGAGTGAAGTCACAGGCTTGTTTCATACTGTATGTAAAAGTACATTTCAATGACAAACTGCGTACATACTCAGGGAAAACAACATTTAGCTGAACTCAACCCATACGCGCCTTGTCAATAGGGCATCATTTATTCATAAAGTTATACACCAAAGTCCAGATCCTACAATTACCAATGCCACTGTGGGTTCAAATGCTATTAGTTCATCAACAACGTTTTACTAATCTATTCAACATTCTTTTAAAGATACAAGCGTGAACTGTGTGTTTTGTCATTTTCTCTCCCAGCCGGTGGATGACCTCAAAGCTCCATGTGCAGGGGGTGAAGAGGCAGAGAGGCCGCCCCCGTGTGAGCGTGTGAGCCGAGGTAAACTGGGCATCAGGCAGCTGCTGCTCAGACGTGGACTGGTGGCACTGGGAGCCGTGGTGGTTCTGGCTCTGGGGGTGGGGGTGCACTTCCTGGTACCTCTGCCTGAGACACTGACCGCACACATCAACTCCACTGTGGAAATGAATGCAACAGATGCCACACTGCTGTTCCCAATGCAACAATGAACTTTTAAAAGCGGGGGTATCTAACTTTTGAACCACAAACATTAAAGCTTGTACGTACTTTAAAAAGTTTGGTTGTTGGTCTCTGTCATGAAAGTCAGAATGAGAAGTTAATAGAGGTGACTTTTGTATCGTCCTTTTACAAAACTAAACATAGACATCAAAACCCCAAGATGAAACATTTCAGCCTGAAAATAGACTAATATTATAGAATGTCTTCTTCACTATAAATATGTTTATGGTACTAAGAAAAGTATAAAACATGGAGTCCTAACTGTGACATCTCCATAAACCTAAAAGAAAGCTCTCCTCTTGCTTGTTTACATGGAAATTCCTTCCTGTGTAAATACATCCACAAGTATAAAATAATGTGAACTCTTTGGAGGCTGTTTTCATTTCATTTTGAGGCTGTTTTCTTTTAAGACTGGTGTATTTTTCACTTCAAATAATAGAAACATGGAAACAATAAATAAAACACGTCTCACCCAAAAGCCTGCTTTGATTGAATGAGTCTCTCACACTCTTTGTTGTTTTGGCCCCTTTCCAAAGCAGCTGCGACTACATCCCACTATCCCATCAGCTCAAAACGATGACAAAAAACAGACTTATCTTTCGTGCTTGACCATTTTCTGGCATCCTCTCCAGTGGACATGGAGCAGTCGTTATGCCATAGGATTGCTTTGGCCTATAAAGAAGAGCTGTCCCATATCATCACAATGACAGGGCCTCTGGTAAGACTGCTGCTGCTGCTTATAGCAAAAAAAAAAAGAAATAGAAAGAAGAACTGAGATGAACTCAATGTATTTTAGCTGTTTTCTCGAATCTTCAACCACCTTCTTCCCTTTGTGGTGACTGTGTTCTGTGGACGCTTGGGCAATGAGGTGATGGCAGGATACGGACTGGCTTCTGCGGCAAGTACACATACATGTTGCAACAAGGATTACTTTGATTACAACCAGTGTTGGGTAGAATATTTTGAAATGGTATTCTGTTCCAGAAGACTGAATTAATCACCTTGAATGTATTCTGTATAGTATTTTGTTATTTTGGGAAAACAAAGTAGTACCTGTATTCCGACTACTTAGAATACTTTAATTGATACTTTTAATTATTGTTATAATTTTTGTAAATTCATGTTTGTTTACAAAACTTATAAAGGGAAATTTCAAAATATTTAAAACTGCAACCTCAATAAATGTTTAAATGAATAAAACATGTACTGTAATTATTCAATCATGTGTTTTGTTGTAAAACAAGTCAGAAAAAATAGAATCTTCACTTTAAGAAAACCTTTTTTAAAATCTTAAAGTGTAATGTAAAAAAATATGTATTCCCGAAAGTAAACTAGATTTTAAATTAGTAATCGAAAGGGAATACAGTTACTCAGAAAGAGTATTCTGAATACGTGATGGCATTACATGTATTCTGTTACTCCCGACACTGATTACAACTAGGTCTGATCTTTTAAAGCTTAAATCAGAGGAGCTGCAGTTTTAAATGAATATTTTTAGTGCACATGATATTTTAACAGTTAAGTTTTAAGTGGATTCATTTTTTTCTTTAGACAATTAATGTTACCACAGCAGCAACAGGATTTGGTTTAGCCATGGCCTGTGATACTCTGGTGTCTCAGGTTTGTGAATATTTTTCACAGAATCACATATAATCTATCTACTGACATACTGTATGTGTGATTCCCAAGACTTTTGGAGGAAAGAACCTGTTGCGTGTTGGAGTGATTCTGCAGAGGGGGGTCCTCATCCTGCTGCTGTTCTGTCTGCCCTGCTGGGCTCTGCTCATGAACGCACAGAGTGTTCTGCTCTGCCTGGGACAGGAGCCCGAGGTCACCAGGTAACAAGGTCCACTCTCCAGAAGCACCTCTGCTGAATACTGAAATGCTCTTGGCTGCATCATGGGCATGTAGTTAGCATTCCGATGGCCTTTCGAAATGTAATTTGTACTATGGTGTGGTACGACCAGGCAAGTCCTCTGCATACACCATGAAAATATGTGATAGGAAACTGTATTATTAAGGGAAAAGTGAATGTAAGGTTTCTTGTTGCAGAATATCACAGCTGTATATAACATACTACCTTCCAGCTGTACCTGTAAGTATTGGATGTTTTTTTATGAACACATTGAATGTCATACAAACATGGTAAGTGTGGCATGCCAATAATTTAGCTCTTTTACATTTTGATTGTCACTGCTCAGGCAATGTTTCTACACTACCTCCAAGTGTGTTATCTGCAGAACCAGGTGCAGAACAAATGATTCAATGTTTCTGAAATGGAAGTTGTTTTTAAAAGGGTTTGTAGGTTTAAGCTGTTGTTTGTGCTGTGCAGGGTATAACACTGCCTCAAGTATATACTGCATTGTTGGCAAATATTGCTAATGTTGGGACCAACTACGTCCTCCTGTACTGGCTAGAACTTGGGGTGATGTAAGACTTCAACAAACAGAAGAATTCATAATTTATTTTGTTGATTGAAGGAAGATTTTCACATTTTGACTTTTGTGTGCATGTCTACAGCGGGTCAGCAGCGTCTAACTCTTTGTCTCAGATTTACATCTGCGTGTTTTTATTTGTTTACATTCGTTGGAAAAAACTCTATGCGGCGACATGGGACGGTAAGTTCAGAGGAGAGGAGAAATAAAGGCTTTTGCGTAAGTGTCTGGCTCCCCCTACAGGCTGGTCTGTGGAATCACTGCAAGAGTGGGGCTCCTTCATGAAACTGGCCATTCCCACCACTTTGATGAAATGTTTTGAGTGGTGGGTTTATGAAATAGGAGGCTTTCTTGCAGGTAATACTAATTCTGTATTAATTATTTGTATACAATGAAATAAAAATAGATAACGTGGGTTTTCATAACATGTCATGTTCAGGAATTCTGAGTGAGGATGAGCTGGCAGCTCAGCATGCTGTTATGATGGTTACATTATTAACATATATGGTAAGGCTTTGTTTCAGTACTCTTCTATATACACACTGTATATGTTTTCTCAGTTCCCTCTAGGTGTTCAAGCAGCAGCCTGTGCTCGAGTGGGAAATGCTCTTGGAGCAGGCGACACTTCTAGAGCTATTCTTGCTTGTAAAATCTCCCTCACGCTTGCAGGTTGAACTTGAAGACTTTCTAGTGATTGTATATACACTTGTTTTTAATGTACACATTTTAATTTCAGCAAGCATCGCCTTGATTGAGGGTGTGATACTTGGTTCTGCTAAAAATGTGATTGGCTACATATTTACCTCAGACAAGTAAGTGTGGTCAGTGCACATTGGTAACAAGGATTTATGTTGTAAATATTAGTTTTTTAAATGGCATACAGAAGAGGATCCCAATTAGAATCATCCTCAATTTGAACTTTTGGGTTTTGCGTTTGTTTTGTTTGACTAACATTTGCATATTTTGTGTTTCTAGAAAGATTGTTGAACTGGTCGCTGATTTGATGAATGTGTATTGTTTTCTACAATTTTTTGATGGTCTTGTGGTAAGTGCCTCCCTTTTCCTTCAGCTCAAGTTTATGTAAAGTCTATAGTAAAACCATGGATGAGTGAGAATCTGTCTTCAGTGTGTCTGCATAGGCATCTTTGTGGGCACAGGGAAACAGAAGATCCCAGCTGTAGCGAACCTTATTGGATATTACGGCATTGGACTTTCCCTCGGTGTAACATTTATATTTGTGGCAAAAATGAGGATATTTGGAAAGTATCAGATAAACTAAACAGCATGAAGATTAAAGGTGAATTACTAACAGTATTGTTTTCCCACTACAGGTTTTTGGTTGGGCCTACTAATTTGCGTCATCGTGCAGTCCACATTCTTTATTGTTGTAATTTTCAAGTTGAACTGGAAAACAATGACAGAGGAGGTAAATAAAGATCAGCCATGATTATAATGAGATTGCATGCACTGTGTAAGTATAATGTGTGTTATGTTCTAGGCAGTAAAACGAGCAAACAGGAACAATGATGTCGACCAACCACTAAATGTGGGTTTGTCACACCTTGATTGTATCTTTTTCATCTATGCCACTTTAGTATTGTTTATACTTGTCTTACAGTTGTCTGATGTCCACACCGAGTGCACTGACCGACAGAGAACAGGAGCAGCAGGCCCTCTATCAACATCTCAGCTCATCATCAGAAGAGGAATCACGGTGTTATCTGCCGCTGGGCTGTTTGCTCTGGGGTTAACCATACATTTAATTGTGCCTTTGCCAGAGCCATACATCAATAGCACAAATTCCTTTAGAAATATTTCAAATCCAATTGTTCATAATGTAACAAATATACAATAAAAAGCCATACCTGTAAAGAAAAATAATTTATTGCACTAGTTACTTTTATGATTTTACAGAGAAACTCAGACGCACAATTGAAACCTTCATTATTTAAGTCTTCTAATAATTGGAGTAAATCACACAATCATATTTTGGACTATTACATTTACAATTATTCCCACAGCCAGGATGAAGATCATGGCAGCCAGAGCCAGGCCTCTGCGCAGCACCAGAGCTGTGTGTGGAATCTTGTCTTCAGCTGAAGGCTCAGGGACCAGCTCCAGGACGTCCCACTCTCCTCCTGCGAACTGTGCACCTACATAATAATAGTATGATTATGAAAAAGGTGATTTCAAATGTTGGTGTCAGGGTATTTAGTCGGGAAGAGATACAGAGATTAAGCATAACAACATGAGAAAGAGAACAGTGGTATTGTGGTATCATTGTGTTGTCCACTGGTACAATTCTAACTTCACTTTGTGCTCAACATGCACCATGCAAATACTCTGCAGTGTTGTGCACGCAGGTTTTTTTTACCCAGTATGTAGCGGGTTCATCTTGTACTTATCATTTTAGATGCAGGCATAAGTCAGAAATTGACTGTAACATACTCTAGATAAAATAAGATATGAAGAAAACATGGCTCTAACCTTCAGAAGCTTCACCCGCTCCAGCACGAATCTGGGCCTATAAAGATGCTCAAATATGAAAACTGATATACCAGGAATTATTATACCTCTGTAGTTGCTTTTTCATACCTCTGTTGTTGCTTTTTCCCAATTCATTCGAACCATGTAGACAACCATGAATATACACTGTATAAAGATACAGATAAACAAGCCTGCCCAAAGACCTGCAAAGCACAACAGGTTGAATAACAGCTCAAACCACAACATGCACCAAAACAACTGGCAACATGAAAAACAAGTCTGTTGTAAATCTTACCTTTTATTCCCATTTTGGCTGCGAACATGAGTGGCACTCCAATAGGGAATCCAATCCCATAAAAACCTACAAAGTAGGCCAGAGCCCCAATTTTCTGTTTACCCGCTCCTCTGATGATGCTGCCACACGCAGCCTAGTCACACAAGCACGAGGAGAAAATAGACACAGATTACATATGTGCTGGAAAGTATTCACTTTACTCCTAAAGACCAATATAACTTACTGCGGTCGCATCTAGGATAATAAACGGGGCGTAAAAGGTCATAATATCAGAAACCCTTTGCCTGATTTGTCTGTAAGACAGACCAGACAAAACACAAAAGGCATGTTGATTTTATTTAAAATAGTTGGAACTTCAAATCAGTAATTCAGTTGATAATCGTCTCACAGTCCTCAAGTACACCCCTTTTGTTTGTACTTTCCAATCCATGTAAAAATGTGAGACTTACTCGTCATATGTAAACACATAAGAGATGTGAGAGTGTAAGCCTCCAATAAGTATGGCCAAGCAGACAGACACAAACCCTGTGGAATGATGTTACTTGCTGTTAAATGTAACATGTTAAAGCCATCATTTCCCCACATACCTGCGCCGAACATTGTGACTTTAGCACACAACTTTGCTTGGTCTGTATTTCCTGCTCCTAACGCGTTTCCCACCCGTACACTCCCGGCAATACTAAAGCCCATGGGAAACTAAAATGAAAAATGAAAAATATATTAAACAAGATTGTAAATCTGCTCATTCGTAAAGAAAATATATTAATTGAAATAATTTGTTTACTCACCATGTATGCAATGTTAGCCCACAGGAGGACAACTGACTGCGCTCCCAACTCCACTTCACTTATTAAGCCTGAATAACAGACGTTTATTCAATTGTATTTACTTATGCTTATTACCATTTCAGAAATACAAATCAAATTAAATAACCTGCTAAAAAGCTTCCAATCTCATATGTCCACCATTCAACACACATCATGACCATACTGGGGATGGCCAAGTGAAGGTAAACTCCCCAGTCTTGTAAACAAGCTCTGGACCACCCTGCATAAACAAAGAAAAATAATGCATCGCCATGGTGATAATTGATTATGTGATCAAGCTCACCTCCCCATGTCGCCTTGTGAATACCTTTGTAGATAATATAGGCCGACAGAATTGCAACCATAATAAATTCAGACAGACAACTGGCAACAGCTGAACCTCTGTGGAAAACATGAGAAAAATGAGATAGTTACAGGCCTCTCTCCTGGATGATAAACTGGACACAGTGAATCAAACTGTTTTTCATTTTAAACAATATGAGTTTTATCTGATTAAAAAGGAAAATGTATGTTTAAAAGTTTTTGTAAACATGACAACATACTTAAGCGACAGTACGCATGTATGCATGCAAACACATTTTATTGTTGTGTTCACACTATCAGATAGTGTCTCATAACTGCACCGCACTTTGACATTGTCAGTGTGTAAAAGATCTCTGTTAAACTGTACAGAAATGGAACTTTGTGTAGGTGCGTGTGTTGTGTGTGAGTATGTATGTGAGGACCCATGTGTGTGCCTGTAGTAGTAGTAGTTATTTTATTTCAGTCAAAAACATCAGAATAATTCATACACTTTCTTGTTTATATCGTAAAACATAGTTCAGACTGAAATAGTTTAGGCCTGTGTGTGTGTGTGTGTGTGTGTGTGTGTGTGTGTGTGTGTGTGTGTGTGTGTGTGTGTGTGTGTGTGTGTGTGTGTGTGTGTGTGTGTGTGTGTGTGTGCACGCACACACCTGAATAATTTCATACTTACGTCACACCCCAGTTTAAAACAAAGATGACAATATAATTGATGAGAGCATTGAGAATATTAGCCACAAGACCAGTGATAACTTGAGGCCATATGATGCCCTAAAATAGAGACATGTTTTTATTTTATTTTTAAATAACAAAAAACCACAAAAGTATATCACCTGGTTTTGTAGATATCTTATTTGAAGAGAAAACATAAATGTTGCCTGAAAGAAGTGACAATAATGAACATCAAATTCATACTTTAAAAGTCCACCCATCTATCAAATGCCTTCTGCTTTATCCGTTGCCGGGTTACAGGAGCAACATTCTGAACAGAAACAGCCAGACTTTCCTCTCCACACACCTCCTTCAGCTCATCCAGGGGATTCTTGAGGTGTTCCAAGGCCAGCTGAGAGACACAGTCCCTCAGCAGTTCTGGGTCTTCCCTGGGGTCTCCTCCCAGTGGGACACCTCCCCAGGGAGGGATCCAGGTCATGCCAACTCAACCGCTCCTTGACTTAATATGTAATAATTATGAATGAAAACCTGCTCACCGGAAGTGCTGGCATGAAAATCTTCACATATGATTGAGCCAATCTGAAATGTAAGCATAGAGGATTCATGCAAAGTCAAGAAACCATTACACAAAACAGGTAACAAAAATCTGACTTGGCAATTTCGGGCTCCTGCTTCACTGCCAGCAGGATGGGCTCTGTGTTTATCAGAATGGCCCAACAGGGAAAACACGCAAGTAACAGGATGAGTATGGCTTGTTGAAGAATCACCCCAATTCTGAAATGATTTCCTCCACCAAAAGTCTAAAAGACACAGAACCCCCCCCCCCAAAAAAAAAAAACAGTTAATAGCAAATACAGTGAACTAGAACATTCTAATGTGTTATTATGGATACAAGTAATTGCATGGACTACTCCCACGGGCCCTTGACTCCTTGTGCCCGAACACAAAAAGAACTACTAATCAAACAAGTTGTGTATCCCACCAGCCGAGCACCGTTCTTGTTTGCTACAAAGATTCTGAACAATGCACCAGGGTTGTGTGATTCCTCCACATTGAACTGCTTGAAAAAAAAAAGCTTTGGAACACTGAAAAAAGAAGATTTTCAATATTATGTTTTAAAATCTTTTACTGACTCAGTCGAAAATGCTTTACGTTTCATACATTAAATGTGTCTTTAAAAAAAGCGTTAATAATCAAATTCCAGCTATTCAATAAATACAAAAAAAACACAATATAAATATACCCAATGTCCATTCTGTGCCAGTCTGGAGAACACACTGCCTGTCCATTTAAAAACTGGGACAAGGCTCGCAAGTAATTGATTCTCTGCTGTGTTTCTTACATTGTGCTTGATTTCCTACTGCTGACCAAAGTCCATCAAGGAACAAGTGCTGCGAATTAGCTTTGAATATAAGCACCTTACTGCATGCATCAGACTACTGTATGGCAGGTTGTCTATGTTTTCTGTATATGTCCCGACCCAAATAACAGTTATTTTCTCTATTGACAAAACCCATGAAGCAATAGGTTGAGATTATTCAGAAAAAAGTCTGGTCAATGCTGTTATCCACAATACAACAACAAAAATCCAATAATAATTACAGAAAGTATTTACTGAATAAACAAAATACGTTTCACCTGTGAAATGAGAGTATCACATGCCGAGGCCAAACCGACTCCTATGGATATACCAGTAACATTTATGACCTGTGGCGAAGTGGATCTTGGATGGATGTGTTTCTAATACACATCCATCCAGGATTGGAAAAGAACGACTATACCACAACATAGGTAAGAGACTCCAGTTGTCGAACGGCCTTCAATTTAAGGTAAACTAGTCTCATAATGCACTGAAGCAAGCTTGAAGAGCTGAGGTATTGTCCTCCTTATCACATTAACTTTTTACAAGCTGCTGAGACCTTCTAAAATATGGTTTGTGCCCACGGGTTGCTCGGCAGCCTTGTCTGTCCTCTCATCCTCTGCTCTACTTCTAGCCTGGCTCCAGCCAAACTTTAGCCCCGTCTATGTCACAGGTGGGAACAGTTTCTTTGGACCCGGTTTTAAAGAGACCAATGGAATAAAAAGCAAGTTAAAAAGATGTATTACAAAATATATAAAACAAATAAAAGCACTAAAAACCTAAGCTAAAATCACGGACTAAAATCTAAAATAGAGGCTGAAATAGGTTACAAATATGGGCTAAAAATCGTGGCTCGCTGAAATGTTTTGTAGACGGGGCTAAAGTCAGCTGGAGCCAGGCTACTCTACTTCTACTTCTGAATAACTTTTCTCTGCTCAGAATTACTTTTCAGCTTGGACTCAACAGGGTGAACAAAATGTTATTTTTGAGCTGCTTAGGTGCGCCAAAAATGGTTGCCACAAGGTGGGAGCCTCCACACTGATTGTCTCGCCGACGGTGGGTCCTGACATTAGTGACACTGAATATTTGGAGCTTTCTATGTCGCTGAGGATAACTCCACTTACATTTGAAGCTGTACAGTCAACAAACGGGCATTGTTTACCTCCACAAGTTAATCGTTGCTATTCTGAACCAGTGTGTTTGTGTGCTCTTGTTTGTTTTGTTTTATTGATTAGGCCTGTGTTTTTAGTGCAGGGGTACAATAACTGTGTCATTGACTTCCTCTAGGTCAGATGTCTCCAACCTTTTTCACCCAGAGAGCTATTTTCCCGGGACGATAAACGCAGAGAGCTACTTCTTTCAGCGGCCCTGGGGGGAAAAAAAATATTTGTGTAAACAAGCCCGATATTGTGTACTTTCATTATTTATCCTCACATATGTGTTACTAGTGCACAAAGTAAGTGCATTTACACAACAAATTATGATATTGAATAATACTGAACTATTTGATTTGATTTGTTCATTTCTAAATTCTTTGGCGAGCTACTCGTGGATGGGAGTGGCGAGCTACTCTAGGTGATGGTCCACACACCTGCCACCTCCCTCACATGTGACTACTGGGGCCCTCAAATGTGACTCTTGGGGCCCTCGCACCTGTGTGGCAGTAGTGGTACTTTGGATTCTGAAGATTGTGGTTTACAAAGAAGCAGTGAGGACGTCCACTTCTTTCTTTCTGAGACTCTTCCAGTTTCTCTGTCTCTTGTGGCACTTTCTGATGACACGGTGACACTCTCAGCTCAGGGGCCACTTTGGTCTGAGAACTTCCTGTTTGAATTCTCACATTGGTGGGGTATATAATGTGTTATCAAATACATACTTTTTTGCGAATAAGCTTTTGAAACATCTTTTGCTCAGTTAAGTTTGATTATCTTCTGTCTATAAAAGGGTGTTCTGTTAGCGCTGGGCATGAACAGAATGAAAAATGCTGATGTGGGAATGATATCAGGACTACAGCCAGTGACAATCCCCTTCAAAGAGTCTTAATCTCCTCTGCACTGCAGCTCACACAGAGCACTCACTCTGTCCCAGACTGTTACAAAATGTGATATCACTCAACCCACTATGGACATTTGAAATCCCTTTGTTCAGTAAGCACTGGAAACAAAGGAACCATAGTGAAGTACAGATTTCTCTTGCCTAATTTAAACCATAAACAAATAATTAAAATAAATATATTCCAGGCACAAAATGAACTCCTCTCACAATATGCACTATGCTATGCACTCCTGTTTCCACGGATTAAACTGTTTTGAATGATATCATTAAAAGATGGATTCAATGCAATGAAAGAGCATGTGATGATTGTTTAGTAACACCTTCAGGTAAAACCTGGTCAAAAGAACGGAGAACAGAATATGTGTGAAAACCCAGTCTGTGTGTCCCTGACTCGTGTCACTAGAGCAGTGTGGCTGCTTTATGTCGGGCCTGTCTCAGTGACTGTCCCTCTGGGGTTACCCCCGCTGCTTCACAGAGGGAGAGTCACAGTTTGAGAGGTGGAGTTCAGGCTTGTCTCAGTCTTGGCTTTGTGCCAGTGGCCCAGGGCAAAGGCACCAATCACATAAACACACACCCACATCACCCACATACACTGCTCAATCCTGCACTAATATGCAGCCAAACAGGCACTCCACATGCGATACTCGGGCTCCTCTATTGTGTTCGTTATGTGGATGACTTCTAAGTAGGTTTACGGTGCCCACGCCAGCTCCAGATGCAGCTGTACTCATGAAAAAATGAAGGACCATTTTGGAACAAGAATTCAAACTGATTACAAAAATAAAACCTATTACACTTGACTAAAAAAGGCCCAAAATTCCTGCTTTAATGATCTGGATTATAATGGACAAGTACTCAAATAGAAATAGCATACAATCATACTGGAGAATGGACCCAAGTGTTTTCATTGAATTCAGTCAAAGCCTTAAAGCACAGTAAAAGACAACATTCACCAATCATTTCTTTATCCACCTATCGATCAATAGATTAATCGATCTATCAATCTATCTATAGATTGTCTTTGGTAAAAACATTCAAGAAGGCAATGAAAGTACTTTTATATTGAATCTTGGGGAGGATGATAAGTGCTTTTTGACTGAGCAACAAAGAATTGAAGTTTTGAGTTTTCAAAGTCTTTTTTCTCACAGTACAACTAATGTCAAAAGTTAAAAGGGTGCATATGAATACATCACACATCACATCAAAGAGTATATCCTTTTAAGGTGTTTGTCATTTCCTTTCATTAGTCATGAAATCTGCCAACGTTGTAGCGGGAGGAAAGATGCCAGACGTTTTCAATTGTAAAACAAAGTTACTTTAAGGTGTGAATAGATAATATATAACGATATGGATCATATATATCATACACATATAATCTAAGAGAATAGTTTATCAGCTCACTGACAATACCTTCACGTAACACCGTTGAATCAGATCACACCTTTTACAATATGAAGCATTGAATTTATGTTGAGTGAATGTTGAGCGGACTCCAAATGAGAGTTTGAGTTTTATTAGAGGACATTTAACACACTTTACCTGTCCAAAACCAACCACTATTACTACTTTACAATTCCCAAAGTGTGCGGCAGCCAGAGTCAGAGGCAGAGGATGGGTCACTAATGCACAGGGAGTGGGACATCAGCCGTGCGTCGATAACGTCCTGGGAGGCAGGTGCTGCAGTCAATAGTTGGATGTGTGGAGTGAGAAAAACATCCTTGTTAGCAGTGGAGGCTCTGTTCCAGCAGGCCAGCCCTGGATCTTCTAGACATAAAAAAGTTCTTGGAGTATTCTTCAAGCAAGTGTATTATAAGTGTCCCAGTACGACCGACTTGAGTGGATTTTGAACCCTTTGCTCATGAAGTTTCTCCTGGCGTTGACGGAGCCCAGCTGGCCCTCACAGATGTGTATCTTGGTGTCCATTATGAAGTGTGGAAAGCTCAGAGAAACAAACTCAACGGCTGCTGCACCTTTTTTGTTTTCAAACACTCAAACTGATCCACTGTTGATGACATGAACAGCAGTCAGCGTGATTTGACATGGCACATCTGAAGAATTGTGTGGACAGATGTGCAAGAAACAGCACTCTGTTATTCAATTATAGTCTCACTTTCTCAATGATTCTAAGAACACAGAGCAGCTTATTTCAGCGTCAAGTTGTTTGCAAATTCATTCAGCACAAGCATCAATGTAGATAACTGTGTCCGATCCAAATTCTACAGTTCTACAGATCCATTACTAAAACATATTTCTCACCCATTTTTGTTAATTATTGATGTAATCGTGCATTTGTGAACATTTGTGGCCCCCTATGGAGCAATGTCTGCTATGTGTTTGTTAGTATTGCATTTTTGTGTTTTAACGATTTGATTTTCTGATCTGGTGATCTGGCAAATTGATAACATTGTAATGTCCTACAAGATGACTGCTGTTATGATTTAGGGATATACAAAAATAAAAATAATTGAACTGAATCAAATTACAGTCAGAAAAATGGGGGCACAGATCAAAAGATACTAAGAAGAAAAATAAAAATGATGAATGGGTTTCGTCTTCTCTTGATGTTCCTTTGAAAGCTCTTCTGCTCTTGTGAACAGTGCTTAAAATCATGCAGTGTAAGTGGACATATCCCAGTGGTGTCCTTCGCTGTGCCCCAGAGGGAGAGATTCAAGGCTGTGTGGGAAAGAGGGACCCTCAATGCCGGAAGTGTCATGTGCCACTGGGGACTGCTCATCCCACTGCTCTGCTCACTGCTCTTCTTCTCACAGAACTAAAGAAAGGGTAAAAGGGAGATCTTAGACCTTAAAATCAGCTTAGTCTATCCGAATCTCAAAAACAATGTCAGAAGTGAAATATGTGGAATGATTGCTATGGTGGTAATGTGGCGCCGAACAGGGAACGCACAAAATGAACAAGCCATTAGTAACGGTATTAAAATGTTCATCAAAATGAGTAAGGGGAATTTCAATGTTGTGGTGCATACAGGACACAGTACATAAGTAGCTGTAATCATCTTAACTAGCTGTAATGCCTCATAAAAGCACCAAGTAAATATCACTACATGCAGTGTAAATGATATACATATATGACAGGATAAATAAAGTAGACAAAGTAGATCATATTCTGAAAGTGTTGCGCATTTCTCATGATTGCAGTATTCACTGTTTGAAGATGAGATTACTGAGATTATTGTACAGTCTGACAGAAGCAGGAATCAACTGTCAGACAGCAACAAGGAAGGACCTGCAGAACCTCTCCTTCAGACAGCGAGGGTGGATAAGTCTGTCACTGAAACTGTTCTCCAGAGCAGACAGAGTGTTCTGCAGGGATCTTTTTATGACTGTGTATTTTTGGGTCTTGGTGTTTACTTTACGCTATCGGTAGCTACTTATATCTTGAGTGCTCCTTGTGTGCTCCTAGCATGCTCTTACTACTGTCCTTTATAGATAGATCCATAGATAGTCACTAGAGAAAATCAGGTGTCAAGCAACACATCAATTTAAACACATAAATACATCAATTATAAACATTTTACAGTGCCAGTAAGGTGCATAATGGATCTGTCATATCGAAGTTATACAATGTTGTTGAATTTCAGAAGTAAATAGCCTTCTAAACCATATTCTGAATTTTCAAGTTTTACCTACATGAGTTGCTGATGCAGAGAGCGCAGATACACAAGGCACATCTGCCCGTCACCATGACTTTTCACCAAAGATCAGACAGAACAGTATAAATAAAAAAATAATTAGAAACATGTCAGCATGCAGTTTGATCAATATCGTGTCCATTTGGTTATACAAAGAATGAGCAATAGCCCTTTTTAAACTTTTGACGGGCCAAACTGAGTATTATCACTTTCCATGGCTTCAGTTGCATTTAAATTGTTGTCCAATATTCTCACAGTACAAAAGAGAGTCCTCCTTTAGTATGTATTGCAGTGAGTTCTGAGACACACACCGCTGCTCGGTCTATTTCACGCACTCCTGACATCAAAAATATAACCCTGCGAAAATATTCCCAACCAAGAAGGGATTGAAATGTAAAATACAGACAAGCATTTTCTCCAACATGAGAACAGAACACATGATTTCTCCAGTGGGAACTCATCCAAAGACAAGCAAAAACAATTTGTCGTTTGGTAAAAGTAATTCTGTTCAAATGACTGGGGATGGGGGTTTGACATTCATTGTCCAACACTTTAGCATGGTTACTTAGGTCTGTTTTAAAAAGAAAAGACTACATGATTATTGTTTGGGAATTAACTTGCAGTGGAGTAAAAATTTAAATGTTCATATTCTCCCTGACTTTCACTGGTTTCCTCTGACTTTTAAGAGGTGATTGATCCAGCAAAGTGCTCTCCTGGAAGAATGATAGCTCAAAAATGATCATTGACGCTGGAGTATCTCATTTCAGTCCACTCAAAATAATAATTTAATCAAATCCATACTAGTTCCGGGGGTTCTATCACTAATTTTCACATGCAAGAGAGCAGTAGTTTGTAGTAGTTAGCAGTAATGTATGCTGTTGGTTCCTTTCTATTGGGACCAACGACAAGAATGACTTCAGCTTTAATGTAACAATATGTAACGTGGCGGATGCTAGGGGTTGCCACCGCCACAGCGGTAGCACTTACCTGGCATCCGGACAGCAAGCTGAGCATAAAATGCATGGATCTATAATAATAACTGGATAGGGTATTACTAGCTTACAGCTGTCCCACCTACGGGCACAGGGGGCGCCCGTGGTACTGCAGACTAAATTCATGAGGGCTACCCAGAAAAAAGTCCCATAGATCTCAATGTAAACTAAAACAGCTCGACCTCGGCTGACAGAGAACCTACAGCTTTCATAAAAGTCGCATTTTGTGGGGATTTTTGTGCCCCTTGTGATCCTGAACTTTTTTTCTTCTTCTTAAATCCTTCAGTTTTCTGTAAATCTACACTTTACTGCCACAAACTCTGCTTGTTTCCTTCCTGTTATGGCTCCGCTCTACCACTGCTCTGATTGGTCAAAGTGCGGCCGAGCCCCTCTGTGAACGTTCATAGCCGCGTTTCCACCGCAGGAGTTCCTGATAAAAGGAGCGGGGTGGAACTAACAGGAACCTTCCTCTCCCTCGGTCCTCTCAGTGGTCGTGTCTCCACTGCAGGGTAGAACCACTCGGCGACGTCATGAGTTTCGATTGGTGCATAAGCGAAACCCATTTGTTTATTTTACGGTCGTTACCGCTCCGGTTGTTGTGGTCTTTTATAGTCCTGCTTCAGTTTTTTTAAACGTTTCACAGCTTGTTTTGGAGTGTGATGAATCCCCAGTGCTTTGAGGTGAAGCTGATATGTCTGAATAAATCTTTTCATTTCACTGCGAACCCCATCTGAATCAATGCCGTGCTTGAGACATGCACCGACAGGGCTGGCCCCTGGAACCCCCCCATTTTAACAAATGAATGGTTTTTAATGTAGTTTTAAATCATTTCGTAGGGCTGGATTACCCGGTGGCTTCCCCTGGGAATCACATTGACACATTGAGGTGGGGATAGGTGTGGGTTTTAACTTGGCTTTTGTAGACTGCTACTGTTTTTGGTTCTGTTTTTGTTGTTTTGTTCTGTGTACTCCAGCCCTGCACTTTTAAATAAATCGTGTTTTAATGTTGTGGACACTGGAGTTTAGGCGTTTAGTTTAAATTTAGTTTTCCCGGGGGGTGCCTGGGGGGGACCTAGCCCACTGTTCTTCACTTATTTGCATATTAGCGCTTTTAGTTGTTTTGTTGTGAGTGAAGGTAGCACTTTCTGTTTTGTTACGGGTGGGGCTACTCCCCGCGCAGGTCGCCCTCGTTGGATTTATTTATTTAGCTAAATAAATGCAGTTTGTTTGTTAGTAGATTTTCATTGTTTCCAGAGGCTGCGACTTTTAAACCTTTTAGATTTTATATTTCAACTGGTGTATTAAATCCTTTACAACTTTTGTCTGCTCCAGTCTTTTTACCAAAATTTTTATCGCACATTTTAAACTTTGTATCCGTCTATATTTTAACGTGCTTACCTGTGTCCTTGTTTTTAGTTCCTGGTTTTGTTTAATCTTCTTACTTTGAACTTTTAGAAGGTCCCTCAGGTGACAGTAAGATGTTCATGTCAAGTCATCATTAAAATACCCTAATATTTCGAAAGGCAATTATAAACCATGCTCTTTTCGAACACTTCTTTAACTGATAATAGTAGTTCAGCCAAGATATTTGAAATTCAACATTTGTTTTACAGCCCCTAAATATTGTTGTTTTCATTTCGATGTCCCCCCCTCCACCGTTTTACCAATCAGAAAGTCTGTGGTCCAGGTTGCCAGGACTCACTGCACCAAGTTAATCTCACTGATAAAGTAATACATGGCCGCAGCACTAAAAGGGTCAAAAAAGTCTCGTTATGATTCTCAAATCATTAATGACAAAATGAGGAATAAAACGAGGATTTCTATCGAGGCCTTTGTGAGAAAGGTGTTGGTTGTAGATTTTGTTGTTGACAAAACTCTTGTATATTCAAATATTATGGTCCCAGGTGGATTTGTCTGCACATCTGTCAACCTGAGTCTGGGAGAGTGGGAGAGGTAGCAATACCAATTTTGGCCATATTTTTTACTTTTCCTGTATATTAGCTTCTATATTAGCACTGCATAAGGGAACACAGCAATAGAACAACAATGTAATAAATGTTAACTAGAATATCTAACAACACAGGTTTACTGCTACTAACATTATTTACTGTATCATGGCTTTGTTAGGGTTGTGAGAAGCACTGAGTATATAGTAATACAGCTAAATTGTTGAACTGCATGCGGCCTGTGAGCTTCACAGTGATGAAGAGGACTTTCTCACAGGGTCCAGTGATTACCGATAACGGGCAGTGGGTTGGCCGCCTGCCCCGATAATCAGTCAGG